AAGAATATGAGAACAAGACAACATCATATGAGAACAAGACAACATCATATGAGAACAAGACAACATCATATGAGAACAAGACGTTTCAGGAAAGTACTGATCGATGCGCAGAGGCTTGACGACAACGCGCACTGAGCCACTGAATAGCGGATTTTTACGCCTGATATGGTAAGAAAATGTCTTGATTTTAGTAGATACATATTACAATCCAATTTCTTTAAGAAATTGGATTGTAATATGTATTACTAAAATCAAGACTATAAACATAGGAATGTGTAACAGGATCCTTTTGCACTACCGTCTATCAACGTGCTTTACAATAATGTTATACGGTTCTTGTCTAAGTTTATCTAGAAACTTGCAATTGCAGCCATAACATCTTCGAACAACTATTGATAAAAAACATTAAATAACTAAATGTTAATGTGATTTTTACACACTTTATTCAACCCGCGACTCAATCAAATACACGGTTTAGAGCTTTTTACGACCCGCGACTTTTTACCCGCGACATTTTACCCGCGACCCGCGACATTTTACCCGCGACCCGCGACTTTTTACCCGCGACACGCGACCCGCGACAATTAGTCAAACTCGTAACGTACTACGCGTATAGCATTTTCTTTTGTGTCGAAGTCACTAGTTCCACTCTAGTGGTCAGGAAACAAAGAAATACGCTACTCTTCGCTACGATACGGTTGAAGTGGAAAACCAAGCTTTATGCCGGTTTTCCACTTCAATCGTATCGGCTATTCGTAGCGAAGAGTAGCGTATCGTATTTCTTTGTTTCCTGACCACTAGAGTGGAACTAATGACTTCGACACAAAAGAAAATGCTACGATACGTTACGATACGGCTGAAGTGGAAAACCGGCTTTAGGGCCGTAACACGATACCGGATTTCCAGTCTTGTCTGCTATTACAACTTTTCGTATATGAAGTTTTTGTTTAATTATGTTATATTATCATAATTTCAAGTGCAAAATTCACCTCGAAGCAGTAAAATTTGATGTCGCTCCGATCAAGGCATATCTTAAAGATTTACAGGGGGGGGGGGGGCATAACTTGGAAAAGGGCCCATTGAGCGAGCGCCGAAGACACAAGTTTTGTACGGGGGTCTGGAGACTCCAAAATTGCTATTTGGTACGTTTTGGGGGCATTTTAAATAATACTGAATACTATAAAAAGTTAATGTTTAACACTTTTACTCCCAATGTGCTTGTCGTTCAATATATATTTTATTAACTCAAAGCTACTGTAAGAATTTCTTCATATACTCTGAGGCACTCTCATTAACTATGATAAAAAAATACATTCACATTTCATGATTTCACACAAAAATGTGTTAAAATGGCCCAAGGAGTGGGGGGCCAATTTGCATGAGTGGGGGGCCAACAAGAGAGCCTGGGGGGCAAATGGCTCAGTATATATGTTAAAGTGTGCCTTGGCTCCGATGCGAATCCGGTATCGTGTAACTGGGGCCTATAAGAGATGGATCATCGATCCGTGAAGTTGCATATCAACCAGGACGTTCTTAATGACTGTAAACAGTAGAGTGTAAACAAGAAATGAACCGCTGTCAGTTCAGACCAACTAAGTGCATGTAATAAAGCGATAGGAATTAGCAATCATGCTTGATGTTTCTTTTCTTGTTTTTTTTTTCTAATTTATAGTACTTTAAGGGTGGCTCAATACAGTTTTTAGAAAAATGGAAAATTCACGATTCAGATCCGTATTTTTGGGCAATTATTACTTGTTGAAAATAAATTATTTTGACAATTTTAAAAATTTCTGTTGAGCCAACAAAGTTTTTATGAATAATCACGACTTAACGAAATTTGAAAAATTTCGGCTCAATATAGAATTTTTTTTGAATTGTCAATGTACTGTAATTCATGAGAAATCATTTTATGATCGAAATAAAAATTTGGGGTCACCGATGTCGTTCACGAGTTAAATTACTTTATAGCCAAAATATCCGCCATCTTGAAACGTCATTGTTTCCATAGCGACGGCAGTTGCGTAACTTTTGTGCAACTCTCTAGATGATGTTTTGCATAAGTAAGATGCTTTTCGTTTTTCAAGAAGTAATACTTGTCCAAAAATGCTCATCCGTAAATCGCAAATTTTCCATTTAATTAAACAGAGTATTACGGGCCTTGAAAATCCTGCAAAGTCATTATAAAATTGAATTATAAAAAATAAATCCAGACCTGGAAATTCCTTGAAAATTAGTTCAGGTCCTAGTTGAAAATCCTGGAATTTCTGTCCGGATCGATATATGCTGATAATACCCGACTGTGACATTGTCAAAGATTTGTCCAGGTTTAGGTCCTTGAATTTACTGAGAAACCTCCCTGAAAGTCCTGGAATATTCCTTAATTTCATCAAGGGTGGAAATCCTATTTAAATTAAGCCGTATTTATATTTATCACTTATTTACTGAGACCAAGGGAAACAGTTTACCCGAGGTCTCAGTAAATAAGTGTTTTATTATATAGCAAGACTTTAGTGTCAAAGTCTCAATAATTCACCTGGTATTCCGAAACTGTAATGAACCGACCGGCAGACATGCTGAAACTCTTGCACTTGCTGGTTGACGCGAGCAGCCTCACTTCAGGTTTTATTGACTGGAATAAATTTGTTTCATTGTTGACCGGTTACCCCCTCACCAAAGCATGCAGTGAACATGACGTTTCCACGTGATACGGTTTGTCCAATCGGCAAACGGGATACTTGAACTCTCACACTTGCTATATAATCAAAACACTGATCTGTATATTAGGCGAACTACGCAAGTGGTGCATCTTGACAGATCAGACGTCTCAGTTAATACACAGATGAAATATGTTTTGCTCTAGTACAGTGTAGTTTCGTCGATGCCTCCCTCCCCCGCCATTCGGCGTCCCTGGGTAGTGTTTTGGGGCGTATCGTTCTTTCTTAGTTACAATTAACAAAACATCTTATTTGTTATTCCAGATTATCGGGAAAGTAGCTGGCGTCACTCAATTTAATAAGGAGTTAGAACGACGTTATATCAAGGAGATGAAACTTCGAAAACGTCTTCACAATGAACTGGTCGATCTCAAAGGCAATATTCGCGTGTATTGCCGGGTCAGGCCATTCATTTCTGAAGACGGTGTCGGAGTTTCATCTCAAACGCCGACCATAGCATTCGACCACAGTGATGACAGTGTACTCAATGTGACAAACAAAGGCACTGTCAAACACTTTGAGATGGAAAAGGTTTTTCAACCCACATCCACGCAAGATGAGGTACGTGTCTATGGAACTTAGCTTAAATAATCGACTTTTTGTCATGGAAAGTCAGAGTTTTGATTGGTTCTGAGAATATAAGTTAAGAGAAAAAATTCTGCAGAATCCCCCGGTGCACGTGGACAAATGACTAGGGAATCATTCCGATTGGTCAAGATAAACAAGATAACAACTTTCTCAGCAAAGTTGTTCTAAGTGTTAGTAAATAGTTGACTGGCTTGATCAGTCGCACAGCTCGTCACTAGGCAGACAGTAACTTACCATGGTGAGCATGACGCTGTCAGTCAATCAGTGGAGAGGTTCAGATTTGACTTCCACTACCGCTACCATTAGGGAACCATTAACCAACCAGATGCGTTTAATCTACCCGATTAACCAATCAGATGCGCACAGAGCAAGTGAGAGATAGCGGTAGTGGAAATAAAATCTGAACCGCTCTTAAATTCACCCACTGTGACCGTGACGCTCCATGTGTGGGAAAATGAGCCAAAGGATAAACAAGAACGAGAGAAGGCTTGTATAATTACTAACCAAATAGGTTTTTAGCTATTCTGTGAAGCGTGACTATCTTACGAAACCCATGCATCTACTGAGAAGTAAGATCGAGATATTGTTCTACACAGCAGTAACAAATACAGTTCTATCTTTCTAGGTATATTCGGAAGTTCAAGAACTGGTTGTGTCTTGTTTGGACGGATATAATATTTGCATATTTGCCTATGGACAAACGGGAAGTGGGAAAACCTTTACGATGGAGGTAAGAAATGGCGTCTAGAAACATTTTTCTACCCTCGAAAGTTTCATTGCGTTTTTTAGGAACAGATATCTGGATTAGGGTTTTTTCACTGACTAAACTGTAAGTCAACAAGACTTAGGGGACCACTTTTTGTAGAATAATAGTTACGCGTATAATATAGCTACACTCATGTATATATTTTACTGTTTGACGCCTTTTGATGAAGACTTGAAAAGGCAAACTAAGGATTCGAAGGACCCCAAGGACGTTTCCCTGTTTGGATAATTATCAAATAATTCAAATTTAGCGTCAGGACGAGAACGCGATCATCAGATGAACGGTCATTCGAGTGATTTTGTTTCAACACACGAGATGCAGATCGTTTGTTTCACGTTTTGTTTGCCTTTTGTTTTCTGTTGTTGTTGTTGTGAATATTTCCCTTCTATTTGTTTTAGGGACCCGCTGACAACCCTGGAATTAATCAGCGAGCTCTCCGTCACTTATTCCAATCCATCGAAGAACGGTCAAGGGACTGGGTCTACTCGGTCACAGTCAATGTCCTGGAGATCTATAATGAGGCAATCCGGGACCTTCTGTCGAGCGAGCAGACCCAGAAGCTGGAGATGAAACTCGGTGCTGATGGGCTAAATCACGTGCGTGGCCTGACTGATTTCGAAGTCGACAATATTGACCACGTGAACGAGGTATGATGCCATATGATTACAATAAAAATTTGTCTGACATGTTCATTTAGAAAACATTTCCTTTACCCCGGGCTAACCGGCGATTGGTTGATCCCTTGCATCAGGCTTGTATTTGCACTGCTTCTCTCCAAGTGTAGAGAGATTATAAACAAGTCGTGTTTTCATCTTGTAACGTCCTTGACGGCTGCTTGTCTCTGGAAAGTTGTTACATGATTGTGACCATTCAGTTCTTGTAGTTACGTGGGAATATCATGTCACCATAAGAAATCACACGATTTGATTTAAACAGCATACGCGTGAGCAAAACAACGGAAGGTTGTTACCCATACTCGTACTCGTCACCAAATATAAAGTTCTCTCTTGCATCCATGCTGTGACTTATTTATTGGTTAGTGGAACTTGTTAAATTTGATTAATGATTTTATGGTTATGTTTCAGTTGTTTGCGTTTGGAAAGAAAAACAGGGCCACTGCAGTAACGAGTATGAACGAGCACTCCAGTCGCTCCCATGCAATATTACGTGTAACAGTCAGTGGCACCCACAATGCATCGGGGACAACTATAACGGGTAACTATTGTTTTTATTTGTAAATTATCTGCCCAGAAATAATTCTCAGAAAGAGTAACTGGCAAAGCTTGCCCAAGTATATATAAGTGTCTTACTTATTACCACCGCATGAAAGTTTAACTGTTTAAGCGCATTACGGTCACTGAAAGGTTTAATACTAAACTTATAACTAACTTTATTTATACTGGATAGCCGCATTATTTTTGTCGAAACTCTTCTCCTTTGATATTTAACTGATATAAAGGGCAATACGACGCATCAATTATACGATTTTATTATATAAAGTATAGTGCTTTATAGAGATTTCGAGCTCTGATAAAACTGATGTGAGATTATTTATGATAATTTCACATGTGAAAATTATCGCTTTTCTATTATCGCTTTTCTGTACAAATTATCGCTTTTCAAAGACTGTCCCTTATATAATAAATAGAATAATACATGGGTGCTTGGAAATACCAGATTTATTTCTCGTGTTTAACATGATATCATGTTCAACACTAAAACAAAATCTGGTATTTCCGCGCACCCATGTATTATTCTCTATGTCTATTGCGGGGCTTGAATCCCAGTCGCAGATGGGAAATAACAAATGTGCAATAATTGCACTAAACCCTCACAGCTAAACATTGTACTGCCGACACCCCCTTTCATAAACTCAGGAGACTGTGTTTGCTAGGCTCTTTTTCTCTGTAGCGAATTAAACTTGCTAATTAAGTACAGTACTCACAAGTCGAATCTGTTTTTTAGGTAAGCTGAACCTGGTCGACCTGGCAGGGAGTGAGCGAGTTAACAAGAGTGGCTCAGAGGGACTGAGGATGAAAGAGGCTCAAAATATCAATAAGTCTCTTTCATCTCTTGGTGACGTTATCCACGCTCTAAAGAACAAACATGGTCACGTTCCCTACAGAAACTCAAAGCTAACGTTTCTGCTTCAGGACTCGTTAGGTAAGCAACTATATCTTACATTTTGTTTGACGAATTAGGTTTGCTTTTTCATTCAAAATGAGAAAATTTGAACTACAATATTAGTAAGGTAAGTAAAAACGCACGAATTGTTATAGGCCTAGAGAAGTCTTCGACAGTTGTTCCAAAAAATTGATATCAAATTATGTTCAATAATGTTCCCTAATTGTTATAAAAAGTGGTTATTAACTGCAGCGGACTTTTCACGACGAAATGTAGAATACCCAGTTGCATGTGTCCAGGTCTGCAATGCGTATAATGCAAAGACTCTCGTGCTAACACTCACTTGCCAATTCTCATCGATTCCCAAACACCTATCATTCAGTCCTTAATTTGCGACTGTAAAAGTACTTGTGTAAAAATATTTTTTTCTTAAAGGTGGAGATTCCAAAACACTGATGGTGGTGCAAGTTTCGCCAGCACTCAAGAATGTTGGTGAGACTTTATGCAGTTTAAACTTTGCGCAGAGAGTGCGAATGGTCGAGTTGGGACAGGCGTCGAAAAAGATAGAGACTGCTGACCAAAATGTAAGTAAAATAAGTAAAATATTCTCCGGCAGGATATAGGACCTAAAGTCGCAGATGCTTCAAGCTAAGCCGAAAGTAATGCTTTGATTAGTGTTAGGATATATGAATATCGCAAAGGCCATGGTCGACATTGGGGTTATGGTTTCGGTTATGATGGGGGGAAGGGCAACTCCTCCCTCCACACCAATTAGGGCAATGATTTCTAAAAGCTTTTGAATGATAGTTCATGTATAAATACTAAAGTGATGCCAATGTACAGTGTATGAGTAAATATCGGGATTTTCTGCATCTCAAGCTACGTTTACACATTTCAGGTTTACACATTTCAGGTTTACACATCTCAGGTTTACACATTACAGAGTTTACACACTCAAGCTACGTTTACACATTACAGATTTCAGGTTTTTCCGAATGTTAACGACGAATGTTAGATGACGTTGACAGCGTATTTTTCAAATATCATTTAATTAAAGCTGAATCGGCCCGATTAATCATTGTCTGTAAACGTACCTTCACTCGATATAACTAATTGTTGAGCGCGACAACTGTCTCTCTGAAGCCCAGTTGGTTAGAGCTGCACCGGAATCGCAGAGCTGCGGTTCGATTCTTGCCAGAGGCTCAATGCCCAAAATCCTAAAAAACGTTACAAAACAAGATTTCCAGCTACGAAATTATCTTCCAGTAATTTTTGAATTTCGGTTTCGCCAAGGTTGGCGAACCTTTCAGTGGAAGAAGCCATTTGTATTTTATTTGTATTAAGAAAAAAACAATTTCTTAGTCCTTCGGCAGCCGTCGTCGTCGTCATATCAATGGCGTCAGCGAGTCAATATGATTCTCGTCGTCATAGTAATATGGCGCAAACGTGTCCAAATTTTTTTCATATTGACTCTTTGACGTCATTTTGCTAATATGAATGTGAAAAATCCGTATATGGTTAGCCATTGAGTTGATATGACAATTTCACAGTTGGCTGTTAGCCAATCAGAAACCAGGAATATTTTTTTAAAAAAAAAATTATTTTGCTGCATCTTTTACCAGATAGTCTTGTTTAGACCAACCACAGCCGAGCGACTTAAAATTTAACCCTTCTATTAACTGTGGTGACGCGCAAGATGATTTTACCAAATTGTCGAATGTCAAGGGCCGGAGACGTTTGGACGTTGATGGGCTAATAAGCAGAAACATTAACTGTAATTCTCAACTTTGTTTTTTAGCCGACCACACCAAACAAGACAAAACGAAACGCTACGCCACGAAGATAACATCACGGGTAGGTTAGCAAGATATCGGACAAAGACAATATATAGAATAATTTCATGTCACGTCTTGCAAGGAAACTAGGATAAATTAATTTTATATTGCTGAGTATATACATCAGGGACGTCTTGGGGAGGGGGGAGCTAGGGCCCCCAAGTAACAATGTGAAGTTGGAGCAGCCTTTTCGATTGTTGTTCCAGGCAATGATCGCTTGCATTGTCCGCATTCCCCGTCGCTCTATCGCAGTTAGCCTTTCTCACGCAGCCATTTTTGGGTGGCTTTAGTGAGCCGACGTTGCGAGGCAAGTCCACATAACAGCGACTTTTTATATTTTTTTGGACGAATGATGGTAAATTTGCTTTGTACGTAAATGGTTAGTTTATTTTATTTGTTTTAATTGTCTGCATTGCATGGTTAACGAGAATTAGATGCCACTCAAAAATGGGGGATATTCGTCATCGTGAGAAAGGCTAATTGGTTCCTAGAAACTAGACTGACTCAGAATGTTAAAAGTCATTTTGTTTCATTTTCTAGAACTTGGAACATTGTTTGGTATTGATACCTGGGAGCATGCGTATTGCCTACAATAGATGGATATGAGACCTGATTACGTCAATTTTATTCCAAGTTCGAATGATGTTCAGTGAATCATACCCCGAAGTCGTGGGAAAACGATGCATTTTATGTGTATATAATTAGACGCAATTTATAAAATTCAAATATTAATTACATTCTCCGAAGAGAAAAATTAATATTGTTTATATTTTTGAATCTACGAAGTAGATTATATGCTATCGACGTGTTAACTGTTCACTGTTAACTTAGCCAATCAGCGACCAGTATTACCAAAAATTATACGTGATTACAAATCACCGGCTTGGTCGCGAGACAATCCAATATCCAGTATAGATCATGGAAAAGCTGATATATTTTCTTTCTTTTCTCTCTCACGAGTTTATAATGAAAGATCAGTACAACAAGTGAATCCTTGGTAAATCAAGATGTTTTCATATGTCAGATGCATCAAGAAACTGTTTAAGAAGCTGCTTTAAATTCCCAAGAGCAGAACATCGTGCACTTTACAAAAATATTTTAATTTCTTAATAGGTCAATATTTATAATAGATGCACCCTGTCAATATTTTACGCATCTTTACGTTCAGCTTAGTGCTAGGGCATTCAAATTCTAACAATACGTTTTTTCAATAGTTTTGGGGTTTTGGGGGACACCCTGCATGTATACTGAATCCATGGGCATGGGTGCGTAAACACAATTCAGTCGAATTTTATGCATGAAAATTAAAAGCCTTTTTGGTTCCGTTATAATTATTATTTGCTGTAAAGCAATAAAGTATATGACTAATTTGTATTTTTCCAGTAGCAGAAAATCTTGTGCTTTACAAACATGGGTTCAGCATACAGGGTGTCCCAAAAACCCAAAAACTATTGAAATAACGTGTTGTTATATAGAATATGAATGCCCTAGCAAAGATGCGTAAAATTTTGATAGGGTGCATATATTTTAATATCAACATATCCTCACACGTACGTATAGTATTAAGGCGGTTTTCCAATCCTCGTACGAAGCTCCTCGCAGCTCGCTGCGAGTGCTTGCATCTAATTAAAATGAACTGTTTAGCATTGTGATTGGATGAAAGTGCTGATGCATCACTCGCAGCGAGCTGCGAGGAGCTTCGTGCGAGGACTGGAAATCCGCCTTTAGGGATTAGAGACATTACAATTTTAGGACGGCAACGCGACGACGACCAAAACAAACTCCTTCAAATAAATGGTAGTAAAGATAATTCGTCGTACATTATCATATGAATTTAATACATACAGTCTTAGAATTAAGTTGAAGACATGGGTTTTATGGTTGGGAAGAGTTCTCCTGAACCCAGTTTGAAGTTGCACTTGTTGCGGCTTGAAATGCAGCCAGGGCCGCCGAGAGGGGGAGGCAGGGGGGGGCAAATTGCCCCGGGCCCCGAGGCTCTGGGGGCCCCTAGAAATTTAATGTTAGAAATTTAATGGGCCCCAGTCATTTATTCGGGCGAAATATTTCTGTTTTCGGGCAAAAATATTTGTGTTTTGGGGGCAATGAACCGAAATTTGGTATGAAAATATTGCGGAAAAGTCCAACGAAAGCAATTATAACGCACCTAAAAAGAATTTATTGTCCGAAAAAATTTTTTCCGGAAAATTTTTTTTGCAATAGGGGCCCCTAAAAAATTTTTCGCCCCGGGCCACCGCCAAGCTCTCGGCGGCCCTGAATGCAGCAGTTGTATCAAGACGTGAAAATCTGTGATTTGGCGTTGTACACAGAGCGGACAATGTCTAAATTATTCATATATTGTAATTTTTCAATTCTTTCTAATGATCTATTGTATTGGTAGCCGTTGCCGTCCTAAAATCGTATAAGGTCTCTAATATCCTCAATATTCAACGTATCGTATAATGTTCAACTCCAGTTTAAATGTTTCCCTTCCTTGTGGTGGGGATATGCAATCCTTTGAATATTCCGAATGGAATTTCTCTATATCTCATCATTCTATCAAACAAATTGCGGTTTATCGTCCACCGTACTCGTGGCTCATCCCATGTTACCTGGAAAACATTTTGATGAATTCTCAAACTATTTGGAGGATATTGTTTTGTGCCCAGAAATTTTATTAATCTCTGGGGATTTCAATTTTCACTTGGATGATACGGCTAACACAAACACTATGAAGTTTAATGAAATACTTGAAACATTTGGCCATAAAGATTCATTGGCCATTCATTCGTCGAACCACATACTGGATCTATTGATAACCCGATCCCCAACTGTACTGACATTAACATTCGCTCAATTGAGAGTACTCTATATCTATCTGATCACTGTTTTGTTAAATGTAAACTATCGATTCGTCGTCGGATGCACCCCAAAAAGGAAATCTCTTAACGTGAAATGAAAAAGATTAACCTTGACGACTTTAAGGCCGATCTAAGTTGCGTGAATTATCTTTGTGAAAATATTGTAAGTCTTGATGAACTGACGCAGTGTTATGATGATGAACTTTCACGTATTTTGAACAACCACGCTCCTGTCCGAAGAAAGATACTGAAAGTTAAGCGATCAACTCCTTGGTACACTGCTGAGCTAAGATAATTAAAAGCAAAGCGTAGTAGTCTAGAGAGAAAGATGAGGAAGACAAAACTAGAAGTAGATATGTAACAGGTACTGTCACTTATTGAATAAAGCACGAACTGATTATTATACTACCCTCATTAATGATAACTCCCATGACACAGAAAAACTTTACAGAATTGTGAATTCCCTTTGTGTTGCATGGCTTGCACCTCAGGAAGATCCTTTACCTCCACATAACGATCTTGGTCAACTTGCTAACACGTTCAATGAATACTTTTTTCGCAAAATTGAATTGATTAGAGAAAATGTGGATCGTATCGTTGTTGAGCCTCCGTTGGTAGAATACCGGAATTCCGAAGTCAAACTGGAATCTTTTGAGTCTCTTTCTTTCCAGGATATTCATGATGTTATTATGCAATTCTTGGGTTTCATATGATGCAACAGAAGTGACGGGGGGTCAACTCTAAAACAAAATACAGTTATCAGAGTGAGTCGATAGTTCGTTCTATGTATTAGCTGTGTTTCGAATAATTTCTATGTATTAGCTAATTCGAATCATTTTCTCACTCCAGTACAGCATAAGCATCAACACATTTGAGGTTGCCCCCACTGCATAATGCCTTAGTGAAATCCAAGAATTGTCCAGTGCCAGTTGCAAATTTGATCCGATTCCACCATGGCTTGTCAAACTCTGTTCGCTTGAACTTGTACCCTCTATCACTAAAATTGTAAATTTCTCTTTGCAAGAGGGTAGAGTCTCGGATCACTGGAAAATTGCTCTACTGAAGCCCATTTTGAAAAAGCTTCGTATGGAGCCATTATTTGAGAATTATAGATTAACAATTTAATCGTTTGTCTGTGAATATTAATGATATGTATATTATTTTTCTATGCGTACAGACAAGAATTGCTTGTATGTTGCCTTGAGGAATATCATTTAAAATCATTGTGTCAAATTTCATGCCGATCGGAGACAAAATGAAGGAGCCTTAGAAGAGCTTCGCCCCCTAACAACAACGACGACGACGACGACGACGACGACGACGACGACGACGACGACGACGACGACGACGACGACAACAACAACAACAACAACAACAACAACAACAACAACAACAACAACAACAACAACAACAACAACAACATTACCATTGATTGGCAACCAGTCCTTTGTCCAATAACGAACACATATATACATACGAATATCAATAGTATTATATATCTAGCCGCAAGTTTAGTTGTTAAAATCTTTTTTTGTCTAGCAAGTAGGCAACGACACGCTTTGAAATAGCTTTTAAATACATGCATGGGCGTCTTTGTAATACAAGGATAGATAGATAGACTGAGATCAACTTTATTTAGGCACACTAATCTCATTCAACATTATGCTGATTTCCATGAGAGGTATGCTGGCTAACTGTTACAATTTGAAGACTAATTTACTAATACATACAAACTATTATTATATAAATGTATTAAATATTCACTTAACTAAACTAAACTACTTAACTTAATAATTGGGATGCCGAGGGCGAGGAGAAAAGGTTTTTACAAAACGAGTTGTAAGATATCGAATTTCGAATATTTACTGGTATTCTATTCCAAAATTTAGCCCCACTGTAACTGAAACTTTTTAAAAAAAATTTTGTCCTGTGCCTTGGAATAAAAAGCCCAGTTGAAGAACCTCTTAGATTATAACTACTAACAGTGTTGGAAAATTGAAATATGTTACACAGTCTTTGTGGAGCTAATTGATTTACTGTTTTGTACATGAGTTTGGCCTTCATTAATGCTCTACGTTCTTCAAGAGATGTCCAACCGAGAGCAGTACGAGCTAAGATAGACTGTCCATGCTCATTTTTAAAATTCATAATTAATCTAGCCGCTCGATTTTGCAATTTTTGAAGACGTTCGCCGAGGCCTTTGCCAAGCTCATCCCAAACTTCACAACAGTAATCAAAATGCGGCTGGATCATTACATTGTACACCAGCACTGATGTATCTCGGTCTACAAATTCTTTAAGTTTTTTAACGTACCAATCCCCGAAGATACTTTACTAGTAATATATTCAATATGTTTTTCCCAGTTTAGGTTCTCATCGATTTCAACTCCTAGCACTTTTTGCGCATTTTACTCTTTTGATTGGACATGTGTCGAAATAATTTACGCTACAGTAGTAGAGAACAAAATACTGTAAATCACCTACCTCCTCAGCAGTCCTTTCTAAAAATTGGGAAGGAAGCCTCAAACTTCAATTTCCAACGGCGAACGGGCGTACTCTGTCTTACGAAATTAGGGAATTAGCCTTTCTCACGCCGCCATTTTTGGGGTACTTTTTTGCCAATCCTGCGAGCGTAACACCACGTAACTTCGACATTTTATAATTTTGTGGGTGTATGATGGTAAATTTACTCTGTAAATGGTTAGTTTGTTCTGAAATGTTCGGCTTTTCACATTGTTATAATCGTTTACGAAAAATTATAGTACCCCAAAGATGGCGGCGTGAGAAAGGCTAATTCATTACGGACTGCGGAGGAGGTAGGGAAATGACGACAGACTATAATCATACTAATTGACGTATTTTGACTGTACGGCAATATGATAGCACCAAAGTGCCTCCCTCAATATTTTGCGAAATGTTCGTCACTGCTATAAAGGTATTACGAAGAACGTTGTTGTGCTCCTTGATTGACATAGTTAATGTTATTACCAATCACATACGAACGACCATAATTCACATACGAACGATCAGAATTATCATCGGGATTTTCATAAAGGTTCAGAGATAAATAGGTATTGTCGGGCTCGCGATTGTGATGCAGTTCTGTATATCCGTCACTCTCTGTAAATGCTTGGATATTATTCTCTTGGTTTTCCATCTCTCTATTACTTTCTTCTCTCGGAGATTCTTTCTCGTTAGATGCTCTGTTCTTGCGTACAAGCAGGATTATGACGATTATTAATGCCAAGACGATCATGGGTAGAAAGATGTAAAGAGCCGTGCAGGACATAGTACTGGAATTTGAGTCTGATGATTGATCTATATAGAAAGAGAATTACTTGAAAATAAATCTTACTCCAGCTTTCCACCTACGGATTATTGTGTCTCAATTAATTATTCCCACGCCGTGCGAGCGATGCGACCAGGCCTTGTCTGCCATTTTGGGTAGTAAAGTGCGAAGCAACAAAGGATGATAACAAGTGATAGAGGATTTGGTGAGATAAATGGTATACGTAAACAAAAATACTATGCTTTTACTTCTCCAAATTATCTCCTTCGCTTGTTGCCGTCATTTCCCCTTTGCAAGGCCTGGTCGCAAGACGTGAGAACGTAAGCTCATATTGGTTGAAATATAAAATTAATAATAATTAGTATTTATTTAAAAAATTCCTGGTTTCTGATTGGCTAACAGCCAACTGTGAAATTGTCATATCAACTCAATGGCTAACCAAATACGGATTTTTCACATTCATATTAGCAAAATGACTTCAAAGAGTCAATATGAAAAAAATTTGGACGCGTTTGCGCCATATTACTATGACGACGAGAATCATATTGACTCGCTGACGCCATTGATATGACGCGACGACGACTGCCGAAGGACTAAGGAATTGTTTTTTTCTTAATACAAATAAAATACAAATGTTTGTTTTGAATTTTTTAAATAAATAATGAAACAATTATTGAATTCGGTTTTCGCACAATATGAAGAATTATCAAGCCCTCAGTTTGCCGTTAGCAACCTCAACCTTCGGCTTCGGTTGATAATTCTTCATATTGTGCGAAAACCGAATTCAATAATTGTTAAATATTAAATATCAGTGGAGTCAGACTTTTCTATTCTTTTATCAGGATTTTGAAACTTCATTTTCCATTGATTTAATTTTGTATAGATAAAAATAGCAGTGGAAAAATTAGTGCAAGTGGAAAAAATGACCGTGTTTATGAGTTTCAGTTCAAGTGCTATCAAAATATCAAAATTGATCGTTCAACAAGAGCCCCCCAATTCGTGAAAACCTGTACGTTTTGTTGGCTTCGTGTCTTTATTAGTACTTTTTCCTCACTTGGACAACTATAAACATGAATGGAAATTTTATTCTGAATCAACTGCTAAAATCAAATCATCGCGTTTCTTTCCATATTGAAGACTCCAAACAATAATTTTACAGTTGCATATCATGGGTAGTTAAAAAGTCTCTATTTTATCCATGGTTGATGAAGGAGCCTTAATCTAAGATTGTAACTTCAAAATGGCCATTTGAATTACCTTTCGTTGAAGTAATAATTGAAGGTTTGGAGTTTGTCCTATTCGTCGTTGTTGTCGGCTTCAAGGGTGCTGAAAAATACCATCAGTCTCTTTAGCAGTCAAAAACTGACATGTTGATATGTAACTCTGGGTGTGCATAGAAACACGTAAATATCACGCGTTCATGATCTATATAAATAACGAAATGCTATTGGCTCGCTTAAGTCACGTGCTGAATTCTGATTGGCTAAGCTTATAGAATGCGCTAGACGGTAATAATTATAATAAATAAGGAGAAAATAAAAATTTATCAAAACAGTGAAAAAACATTGATTTAAATAAATAAAAACGTGTGATAAAAGACAATTATTTAGTTCTGAGCGACTATGGTGATTGAAAAGCACTTAAACATTGCCTATGTTGCACGAAGTGAAGAAACCAGCTGGAAAACGTGACATCGACAGGGTCAAATGAATCAAATAGTATTTGTTTTCGAAGACCGGATTGAATTTGAAGTCGCATCTGAATGAACTGAGATTTGCCGAGTTGCTAGCTTTTATGAGTGATAAAAGCACATTTATCGAAGGTATTTATTGATGTTTATAGATTTAATTGCATGAATTCATTCAATTTGTATAAATTAATTATAAGTGGAATTTTCAAATATTTTCGACATTTTAAAAACTATAATCACGTATTCCGTGCGTCTGTCCTCTAATAGATCATGGCTCAGAAATCGCACGAATTCTTAAGGTTATTATTATATAAATCTTTATATGAAACGAAAACGAATGTAATCATTGCGGTGATGGCGACTCCATGTATTACAACCATTCCATGCCTGACATGTGTTGCAATTATATAGCAATATTAATAAAATGCCCGACACTTCTCGATTTGACTGGGATGTAATTCGCGGCGCCATTTTTTTATAACGGTTAATTATGTTTTACGAGGAGTTATGTGATTGATGTGAGTTTTGCACAGTTTCATACGAGATGCTAAAAACAAAATGATGTTATTACCTCTTGAAGAACATTCTACTCCTGCGTCTTGACCATGCGTGCAATTTTCGTTTCCCCATCCCCTATGAGAACAACTGGTCAGATTTTGTTCACTCCCAGTACATTTGACATCATCCAGCCATATCGGCTGTCCAGTACCATCAGGAACCTCACTGCCTTGAAGAGCTCTAACAGCATATGTATAACCAAGTTGCCGACATGCAACTTTGGCATCATTATAATCCCAAGAATCATCACAGATTGTTCCCCATTTCCCATTGTAATATACTTCCAAGCGACCAGTGCCTATTGCACTTAATGGTCCTTGCAACCTGAGAGGTATAGCTGTAAAAATTTAAAACAAAATTAAAAAGAAGAACAGCAGCCAAGTAAAGCTATGCAATATTATTGTTGACGGCATTTCAATTTCACAAAACAGAATATTTGCGAAGAAAATACGGAATTTATGTAATGTAATTTATCAAAGTAAAATCTACTTTATATAAATTTAATAACCAGGAAACTAGCACTATTAGGAAGGTGTTAAAGCCGTTAAGGGAATTTCCTAATACATGTACCTGTTGAAGAACATTCTACTCCAGCGTCTTCATTGTGCCGGCAATCTTGTTTTCCCCATCCCCTATGAGAACAACTGGTCAGATTTTGCTCACTCCCAGTACATCTGACATCGTCTAACCATATCTGTCCAGTACCATCAGGAACATCACCGCCTTGAAGAGGTCTAACAGCATATGTATAACCAAGTTGCCGACATGCAACTTTGGCATCATTATAATCCCAAGAATCATCACAGATTGTTCCCCATTTCCCATTGTAATATACTTCCAAGCGACCAGTGCCATTTGCACTTAATGGTCCTTGCAACCTGAGAGGTATAGCTGTAAAAATTAAAGCAAAATTAAAAAGAAGAACAGCAGCCAAGTATAATCATGCAATATCATTTTCCGCCGCATTTCAATTTCACAAAAACAAAAACAAACACAATAGCATTTTTCAGAGAGTGCTAAATGATTAATTTCAAACCACAACTCTGACGCTTTACTCATGAATAGTCGTTTCACTCTATGGTTACTTTTGGCTGGAATTCGATTCTGATTATATTATTTGACAATTCATAATGAGAGAATTTTGCTCTTTTGGAAAAAATCATTCTGATTATTTTAATTCTCTTGTCATATTTGATTGAATTTGATGTATAGTGAGTAGAGGTTGTACTTTAGTTATTGTCCCATAAGCATATCCCGTTTTTTTGGTCTCTTAGTAACTGTGATGCATTGCTTTCTATGTCCCGTTTTCGTGATTTTGCTATTTACATCCGAAATTTGATGTCCGCACTGCTCAAAATTTGTTCATGATACCCACCTCTCAAAATTTGATGTCCAACTCTCAAAACAATCAAATCTTAATTAAGCGATTGTAATATAAAAAATCGCAAATTTAAAATCTTGCGAATAAAAAGCCTCGCGAAATTTACACACACAAGATTATTATTATCATTATTTTTTTTATTTAAAATTATTTATACACGGTAGCTTTTTACTTGCGTGATTTTCGAAGGGCCGTGTGTTTTAAAAAAAGAATTACAACATTAGACATTACATTACAAATTATTACAAAATTTCATAATAATTATTAAGTAAGCTACGAAAAGAAGAAATAGATTGGGATTCGTCTACCACTCGTCGACAGCCCCACCGTAGGAGAAGCTTCTTTTTAAAAAATCTGTTTTTGGCTTAGGAAGGCTCAATTTTAAATTGTTACTCCGTAATGAATAATTGCTGTAGAATTGTTACATTTACGAAACATTATTGTTAAGTAATTAGGCGCCATGTTGTTTAGAATTTTGAACATCATTGTTAGATCTCGTTTGTCCATGAGATTTTTTATTGGATGCCATTGAAGGGTTTCAAAGACTTGGGATGATCTAATAGTGTAGTCTGCAGAACTAGTTATGATCTGTGCAGCTCTCTTTTGTAATTTCCATAATTTATCGATATGAGATTTGTTATTTTCATGCCAAATAGTAGAGCAATAGTTAAAATGTGGTAAGACTAATGAGTTGTAACTAATTCTTCTTCTAAAACAAAGTCTTTAGCTTTTCGTAAAAGGGCTATGGTTTTTGAAATTTTCTTACACTGTTCATCATTGTGCTTGTTCCATTTTAATTGGTTATCAATTATGAGTCCAAGAACAGTTTTTCCCTTACCCTTTTTATCTGATGTTCGCCATATAGTATCTTTGGAGTTTTGAGGATTTTATCTAACCCATTGTTGATTGTTGTGATCCAATAAGCATAAAGTCAGTTTTCTTACGGTATAACGTTAACTAATTATTAATTATTAGCCATTTGTGAATACTGTGTAAGTCGCAGTTTAATTTGTACTCAATGCCTGCAGACGATTGCCCCTTACAAGAAAGGTTGGTGTCATCCGCAAACATGGCAGCCTTGCCGTCTGTAGACAGTTAGAAAGGTCATTAACGTATAAGTTAAATAGTAAAGAACCAACGTTTGAGCCCTGTGGGACGCCACAATAAATTTCAACTGCACCTGACACGACATTGTTTATTTTGCAAACTTTCATGTTTTCTCTGATGTAAGTAAGATTTAAACCATTTGAGAGGTGTTTCTCTTACCGGTCAGTATAATCTGCAGACTGCGGACTGCAGACTGCAGACCGGACTGGGTACAAAATGCAGACTGGGGGTATAAAATGCAGACTGAGGATAAAATGCAGACTGGGGGTGAATTAGGGATATTTTACAAATTCCCGCCAAGCCATAGTCGAAATGGACGAAGACATGTACAGCGATGTAGATTATTGTAGAGCAGTGGCGTAACTACTATGGGCTCAGACCGGGAAAACCCGGGGGCCCCAACCCCAATGGGGGCCCCCTGGCTTAGGCGATAAAGCAAAAACATTGGCCAGGGCCTCTGGTATGTTACAATGTCGGTTTCTGACCATCAGAATTCTGTAAAATCTCTCCCCAAAGTCCAGGAAATGGCATTTCAGAGAGTCTAGATTCAAAAATTTTCCGGGTGAGCCCTGGACCCCTAGAAAACTTGTGCATATACGGCGCTTGACTTGTGCCTTTGGCACTTCTACCAGGGGGCCTTCGAAAATTTTGAACAGGGGCCCCCTTGCTTTAACGTTACGCCACTGTTGTAGAGGTATTGATATTATATGAATATTTATATTATTCTCATTCAACCGTAAAACTTGATAACTTTAACACATTCCTTTACGTTTAATATTTGAACGTTTGGTTTGTGGTGTTACTCTGAGTGTATATCCACACCGGGCGAGCTTGAAAAATATGCCCGGCCACGGTGGGATTCGAACCTACGACCTTTGGAATACTAGCCCAATGTTCTTCCAACTGAGCTACGCGGTCAGGACGGTTCGAGTAAGTGATATTTCGGAACAGAATCTAGTTCCTTCGATACCAATGCATTCTAGTAATATGAATTTTTTCTGTGTTGGTGTAGTGTACTCAGGTGAATATTGAGTGTGAAATTGTAATGGTATATATATCGTACGTGTCGACTGTCAAGCACATGGTTTTGTATTAGCAATTTTTCATATTTTCAAGCGTTTCGCTCCTGTAATTCAAGTTCATATACATATATAGACCAATAGCAAGCTTGCGTTTGCCGAGTTTTGAAACATATATGAGTAGAGTGCTTGTCGACAGTCGACACGATATATAGTGACTATATACAATTAAAATTTCACACTCAAAACGTCCAGATTTCATTGTTCCGATGTAATGCAAAGTAACCAAACGTTCAAATATTAAACGCAAAGAAATGTGTTAAAGTGCCTATGACACGAAATTTCACCCCATATGTTTATGATTGCATTGTAAAGATCACTTAAAATGACTTAATAATTTCTTTTATAGAATTTTGGTAACTTGCTTCCTTTGCAAGATATTCAACTTTGTTTCATATGCAAATATCACCGGTGTGACATCACATCGCATAATGACATTTTGAAAACGCAATATTTTACCTTGATAAAATATTTTTACAAACAAATACAGAGGGTTAATTACCAGTTATGAAATTAATACATATACAAGAGCAATTTTTAAGTTTTTTAGATCCGTATTCGTCAAGAAAACTATACTTTTCTGAAAACTCATTAAGCGATGTGATGTCACACCGGTGATATTTGCATATGAAACAAAGTTGAATATCTTGAAAAGGGAGCAAGTTACCAAAATTCTATAAAAGAAATTATTAAGTCATTTTAAGTAATCTTTACAATGCAACCATAAACATTTGGGGTGAAATTTCGTGTCATAGGCACTTTAAAGTTATCAAGTTTTACGGTTGGATGAGAATAATATAAATATTCATATAATATCAATACCTCTACATCGCTGTGGCCCATTTTGATGAAAGTGACTAGCTTCAACATTAATAGTATCAACAAGAACGATCACGTGACTATGGCTTGGCGGGAATTTGTAAAATATCCCTAATTCACCCCCAGTCTGCATTTTATCCTCAGTCTGCATTTTATACCCCCAGTCTGCATTTTGTACCCAGTCCGGTCTGCAGTCTGCAGTCCGCAGTCTGCAGATTATACTGACCGTTTCTCTTACTCCACATCGTTCAAGTTTTGCCAGGAGTAGAGCATGATCAACCGTATCGAATGCCTTTTTAAGATCTATAAATAACTACTCCGTTAATCAGTGCTTTATCCATATTGTCCAAATAATTGATTTTTCAATGTAAGAGAGTAGTCTCTCTTGAATGATTTGGACGAAAACCGGATTGATTTTCAGCGATAACTTTGTTTTCATTCAGAAAGGTAATTTTAAAATTGGCTATAAATAACTTTTTTTGAAGACTTGACTTACATTCGATATAATGGAAACTGGTTTATAATTACCTGCAAAGTCTGTCTTCTTGTCGGATTTATAGATTGGCGTAACACAAGCAATTTTCCAACCATCTGGCAGTATTTAAAGACAAGTTGAATAGTTTTCCCTGCTGTTTGTATGAGTTTGACCGAGATTTTATCAATTCCTGCAGATTTGCAGGTTTTCATACTGGAAATAATGCGGTTTACATCCTCTTCTGATATTGTTTTGAAAGTAAATGAATTGGACACTGGAGCTGAGTGACATAATGTAAAGGGTCAATATCGTTATCAGGAATTTCTTCTGCTAGTTTTTTGCCTACTTCAGAGAAATATTTATTGAATTCCTTTGCAAATTCTTCATCGCCTACTATTGTTTTGCCATTCATATTAATCTCGTTGATCATTGATCGTTGTTGTTTTAGTTTTCCGATTAAATAATTCATTAATTGTTTGGCAACTCTCTTTACTGTTTATACTATTGGCTAGTTCAGAGTTATAATAAAGTCTCTTTGTTTCCTTGATGCATTTGTTAATTAATTGATTTTTGCATTGTTTATATAGGCCTGGAAATAGTAAGGTGAATTCAGACTAACCGCTTTCTTTTTTAAGTAATCTCTGTGATAAGAGGGCCCTTTATACTTTTTGCGTGAAGCGTGATGGGCTTATTTTACTTAGCCGTGAAACGTGATCGATGATTTTCTTAATCCGTGATTCGTGATGGTATGACTTCCAATCTTTCACGTGCACGTGAAGGAAAGATTCGATTTAACCGTGACCCGTGAATGGCAGACAGAAATATTTGTGATTCGTGAATCTTCTGTTTTGTGACCTTTTGTGTGATCAGCCTTCCAAAGAATAAATACGGTTTGTTGCTGTTTTTTGAAGTACTTGATGTACAGAAGCCTGTTTTCGACATAGTTGGAGGTTTGAAAGCATGTCGAGGTAAGTACAGACGAGTACAATGATTCTACAATTAAGGAAGACATCCTATAATAATTCGTGAACTTTGTTTTATTTTTACGTGAATCGTGATCGCTTCGATTTTTCCGTGAATGTGAAGGAATTTTTTCAATTTTTCGTGACTCGTGAAAAGGCAAAATATTTTTACGTGAAAGCATTTTGTGAAGAGGTATAAGAGGCCCTCTGATAACTCTGTTTCTGAAATTAATCTCATTAGTCATCCATCGGCAATATTCACTTTTAACCCTTCTTTGTCTAAGTGGGGCATGTTTATTTGCGATTTCTAAAAAGATTTATTTCCAAGTTTAACGCCTTGTTTGGATCATTATTGAAAGTCGAGAAAGAGCTGAATGCTTCACTTAAATCATTCTGAAATCGTAAAGCGTTGAAATGTTTAAATTGTCTAGTTTCTATTAATTTAGGAATTTCTTTCTGATTGGCAATTTTACGGCATAGCCTACTGTACAATATAAACAAGACTGTGGTCGCTAGTCCCTAAGTAAATGTATGACCCCTGAGTTAATGCTTTTAGTATCGTCCATTTCGTGATAATAATATCGATCAGGGATTGGATATTGCTAGTTATTCTCGTTGGTGCAGTTATATGTTATTTTAGTTGATAATTGTGCATTAAGACTTTAAGTTTCTTAGTTGTTATATTCGTTTCGGTAGATAATAGATTGCAGTTAAAGTCCCCTGGCAAGATTATATCTTTAAACACCCTGGTCAAAAGTTTGAATCATCAACTAATTCTTGATGAACCTGATCAACAACATGCAGCTCATGCATATATCAAATTAAATGACAAATTATTTAATAATGGTCTTAGTATTAACCTACAGTTTGCATTTTGTCTTAATTGTTACTGGCCGGCAATAAAAATGAGTAAAAACATTGTGGACGACCCGAGACAGTATATATTCCTTAGGTTGACTTGTTTTAAAAGTTAAATTGTAGTTCAAACTTTTATAGAAATTAAAATATTATTCAGAAAGCTCTCCTGAAATTTAATGTCCTTTTCTATTTTCCCCCATCAAAATAGCGAAAATAAAGTTTTGCGAAATACATTGCCTCGAAAAAATCGCGGAATTAGGTACGCGCGAAACTAAGTGTACGAATAAGGTATTAAACTTCAGTTTTACATATTAAGCACTAGCTGCACGTGGGCTAGAATAATATTCTTACTTTTCAGATTATTTTGCTTATTTCAAAAAACTATTTCTTCCCAAGAAAAATTACAAGCATTATATACAAGCGTGATACTCAAGCACAATGGAGTATAGACCATGGAATCTTGTAGTTTACGACAACCTGCCGGACAAAACCGAAGATTAGGCGCCATTTACTCAAATAATAAAATCATATAGTCACTTTCAGAAAGCGAAAGCATTAGTTCGTAGTTATACTTTGTTTAAACAGGTAACAAGGCCAGATTTGGTGCTCGACCAATCAGCGCATTTGTTTACATTTTCGCTCTCAGCCAATCATAATGCAAGAAACGCGAAATTTACACCAAGGCGAACTAGAAAATATTGCCGTCTTCTCGGGCTTCCGTGACATTCAATTTTAACTTTTTAAATTTAAAACCAAAAGATTACGATAAAGCACATTAAAATCTAAAACTTTGCCGTGGGCATGTTTAATTTTCGACCTAGAACGGAAAATATCTATGTTTGTTTTGTTCAACCCCAGTACAATTGACATCATCTAACCAGATCTGTCCAATACCATCAGGAACATCACCGCCATCAAGAGCTCTAAGAGCATATGTATAACCAAGTTGCCGACATGCAACTTTCGCATCATTAAAATCCCAAGAATCATCACAGATTGTTCCCCATATGGCATTGTAGAATACTTCCAAGCGACCAGTGCCTATTGCACTTAATGGTCCTTGCAACCTGAGCGGTATAGCTGTAAAAATTAAAACAAAATTAAAAAGAAGAACAGCACCAAGTAAAATTATTCCGCAATTATTGTAATACCATTTTCGGCCGTATTTCAATTTCACAAAAACAATATAATTTTTCTGGGAGTGCTAAATGAAAAACCACAACTCTGATGACGCTTTACTCATGAAATAGTTGTTCCACTCTATGATTACGTACTTTTTTTCTGCATGCAACAGGATGTCTACAATTCTGATTATATTATTTGACAATTCGTAGAGAATTTTTCTCTTTTGGAAAAAAATAATTCTGATTATTTAATTCTCTTGTCATATTTGATTTAATTTGATGTCTATGAGGTTGTAATTTAGTTATTGTCCCATAAGCATATCCCGTTTTGATTGGTCGCTTGCAAAGTGCATTATTGCGTCAAAATGCACGCGTATAGCCAATCAAATTGTCTGTTATATCCCACTTATATTATAATTTATAATAAAGCCTTTCGTCAGAAACAGTTGGTCTCCTGAAGAAGGAAGTCGAAAAGTATTTTCTCTTTCAAATTCCTGATGCTGTCGTGAGATCCAACAACGGTTATTCCGGGCGACGTGGCATGTAGGAGATGAGGGAAACAATCTCTTGATGAAATCTTTTTTTAATCACAAAGAGACATATTAGCTTTTAATTAATTGTAAAAAAGCTTCAAAAGGAATAGTAATAGTCAATACGAATTTGTATATATCTTTCCTTCTTTTTATATAAACAATATTTTATTGAGTGAGATATATCTCTGGTTCAATTCTTGTTTCTAAGGATATACCGTTTAGAAATGGTCTTTTGATGACGCTAATTCTACCACATTTTGATTATTTATTGCTTTCTTGTTTGGAGCAATTGCAACAGATCATGATATATATATATATATATATATATATATATATATATATATATATATATATATATTTTTATATATATATATATATATATATATATATACTTACCATCTATGGCGAGTATGAAAATAACAAATAACGACCATTTTTCCAGCGTCATGGTAGTGTACACAGAAGGATGACAATCTGAAACTGCGGCCGGTCAAACTCTTATACATATGAATATGACTTTGCACTTGTTAAAGTGCATTCTTTGCTAGCAACCAGGAACACTCTTTGAAATACCTTTTAAGCACATGGGTGTGTTGCTGAATCAAGGAACTGATAATCTGGTCTGAAAGATCTGGTAACGAAAAGAGTAAAATTTACCAATTTTTGATTCCGAGAAACGCTGTATAGGCCGTTTATATGGAAACGCATTCGACTTGTAAGCACGGCTCATCATTATCCGATAAAATATAAACAATAATCTTATTATAAAGTTTAAACTGCATGTGACTCGGAACTGTTCATTGTCTTTAATTAAAAGAACTCTTAAAACAGTAGAGTAACTAGCCCAAGCATCAAGCGGAGAAATAAAACATTCATCGATGATGGCTCATTGGATTAATATAAGGACTTCAATTCAAGTTAAAGTAAAAAACAAATTCCGAAAAGACAAGACATCTTGAGAATACAACATGTGATTCAAAACAAGACGCATGCATGTTGACACTGTAAATTTTCGAAAACCTGCGTCTTGTTTTGAATCATATATTGTATTCTCAAGATGTCTTGTCTTTTCGGATACCTTTGGATCAATTCCATTTCGATTCTGTGCTCAGAATGTCGTCCACGAATTCTTTTAGCGAAGCTAAATTGCCAACCCATTTAATCGAGCCTCTTGTTGTCACGAATAAGGACTTCTTGAAGTTCAAGAACGTCTGGCTTTGTGCATTTAGGTCGTTTTTATCAGAGCGATTTTGAGCATGTCCTTCCATGTCGAAAGGCGGTGCGTTTATCTAAGCAAATAATAGATCTTAACTAAATAAACTGAAAACATACAACACAAATCAACTTATATGTTGTTATTATATGTTCGACTATAAGAGTATTATTATTATTATATGACATATTAGTGTTATAATTCAATTAAAACCAGGTGATCTTGATACGCGGAAAAGTACTGGCACTAGTTGTCAAATAGAAATCCATTTTATGATTAAAACAACTGAATATCTCCTGTAATATACTTTATTTCGATTCCATATTTTTGTCAGGGCTATGGTTCTCATAAGCAAACATAATTACAAAATTTCAACTAGTTTCATAAAGAATAACGAAAGATATGATTGACTGAATGCATCAAAATGGATTTCTATTCGGACAACCTTTTCTGAGCGCTGATTGGCTAAAATACGAACACGAGATCACCTGGAAGGCAATATAAAGACACTAAAATAAATAAACTGAAAAACATACAACACAGACACAGACACAGATCAACGCTTGGGCTCCCCATGTTTTGGCTGAAGGAAAACGTGCGAAATTTTTTACGTGCTATGACGCCATCAGGGGCGAAACTTGAGGGAGGGGTATGGGGGGGGGGTGACACCCCCAAAATACGAATCATCTGGATTGGCAGGGCGAATCATCTGGATTGGCAGGGCAATCAAAGAGTTTAAATGATAGAATGTAGAGTTATTAAGTAACTTACAGGGCTTTCAGAGGGAATTGAATAGAATTTATAGATCTAAATTTTACAGATAGTTGGTCCAAAAATAAGGGTTTCACCCATGTATTAACAGGAATTTGTACGGAAAAATATTTTTGACCGTTTATTTAACTGGTTTATGTCCATAAAATTTTTTCGACCCTTCTTTTTAATGTCCGGAAAATTTTTTTTCCAAAAAATAGAAAAAAAAGAAAAATAGTGGCCCGAAAAAAATGCTGCAGGGCACAATCGGTTTTGGCAGGGCAATTCTTCAGACACCCCCCGAATTAAAAGGGGCTAGTTTCGCCCCTGGACGCCATCCTGGAGTGCACACGGCACTTTGTACCTATGTTTGGCCTATGAATAACTTCCGTGTGCACTCCAGGAGCCAGTCATATGATGGCGTATTTTCACGTCAGCACTCGTAAAATTTCGGACAAAATATCTTCTGAGTGACATTTCTGGCCCAGTATCTATTCTGTGACATGGAGATGCGTCCGCGGAAAAACGTCTGCGCATGCGTGGGGCACAAAAAAGATGGCGAGGAATTTAAATGCCAAATTGTAAACAAAAACATGGCTATTTAATGATTTAATGATTTAAGGTAATTGAAACAAACAAAAAAATACACTAGGCGGGTAGTTTAGACATGAATAAAAGTTTTTAACATTTAAAAGTCTAACAAGAACCGTTTAAGACCGGGAGGCGTGTGAACATTTCTTGAAAAATTGTCGAATACCGAACTTAAAGCAGAAAATTTAAGAAAACTATAGAAAAGTTAAGCATTTGCACACGATTAAACTGTAGAGTTGATCATTAACCTTAAATGTAGTCAACGCAAACATTTACATGCTACGCAAAAAAAGTTATTGACAAAAATGTGGATCATATGAACCTACGAAAAATATCTTGGTATGGTTCAGTTAAAGAACGTTTTATACAATAAATTTATCGACAGTCACCTTTGGTTTATTTTCTTGCATAATACTACTTCCAGTTGCACATGCAGACTATAATTACTTTTAATTTTTAGGTTGTCACGTTCATTATTCCGCTTGCATTTTCATAGAAAAGGCAAAACATCGAAGTCGCTTCCATTTTGAGTTTTTGATAACATTTGGCGGAACTCAACACCGCGGAAAAACGTCTGCGCATGCGTCAACATTACTGAAAAAAACTCAAAATGGAAGCGACTTCGATGTGTTGCCTTTTCTATGAAAATGCAAGCGGAATAATGAACGTGACAACCTAAAAACTAGAAATAATTAGAATACTGAAAGATACTTTTCGTAACATTCATGTGATCCACATTTTTGTCAATAACCTTTTTTGCGTAGCATGTATAATTTTTGCGTTGACTATATTTAATATTAAGGATAATGATTTACTTTACAATTTAATCGTGTGCAAATTATTCATGTCCAAACTACCCGTCTAGTGTATTTTTTTGTTTGTTTCAATTACCTTAAATCATTAAATAGCCATGTTTTTTTTACAATTTGGCATTTAAATTCCTCGCCATCTTGTCTGTGCCCCACGCATGCGCAGACGTTTTCCCGCGGTGTTCTTGACATCACGTTCGCAATACAGATTTCAGTAATATTGACGCATGAGCAGACGTTTTTCCGCGGTGTTCCGCTCCCCTCATTTAACAAACGTTCCTGAAGCTTAATGATTCCACCCGAACAGACAGGGCATATTGTAAACACTGGACTGGACTTTGGACTTTGGACTTTGGACTTTGGACTATGGACTTTGGACTTTGGACTTTCGATTTTGAAATTATATTTTTAAAATATTCGTATAATTATATTAATTAAAATCTAAACAGAGAACGAAAATTTGTGCATGATACAATATTCAAGGTAAAAAATACTGTCAGTTATATAGGTATACCAGTGCAATTTCATACATATAGCCTGTGGGATAACAGGATCATCTCAGTAATATTTTTAAGTTAATATTTAAGTTAATAATTTTATTATAATATTTGTATTTATAGTATGTATAGTACAGTTTATACTGCAGAACTTCTTCATCGTATATATAATAGATTTATAGAAACAATTGCGACAAAAGTAGCTTGGCAAATACAAAATATTGAGAAACTATCACGTATAAGTATAAACTACACGCGATTATTATTGCGCCTTTGGCTTTGAACAATTATTCGCCGAAGGCGAAGCCGTGATTATCCGGGAATTTGTAGTCTCCCTCGCAGCCGCCAGTTGTGTATGTTTTCTCTGATGTCTGCGAAGGAGGCTAGGGAATTTGTCAAATTTGACCAATCAACTTGACAACTTGTAGGATTTGTTGTACTATTTATTCACTTGCGCAAAAATACTAATGACGGTATTGTTCATCTTTGCATAATAGTTTACACCGGTTTAGCGCCTGCCTAAATAGGCTGTGTTTACAATGTATTTTGTCTGTGTCAGTTTTAGCTTTTCATAATTGTATTCATCCAGAGTGAACACGAAAACTCTCATAGTCATCATACTTTATAAAATACGAATGTATGATACATTATTATATAATTGGTAGTACTGATTACTTTATGATAATCTATAGTAATTAGTATACTTTATGTATATATTTATTATTGTCTATATATGGCTCTTTTGCGTACGTTATGCGGCTGAGCATTAATCTTTATACTACGATTGCGATTCCCGCCTGATTCATCACTTGCAAGTGGTAGTATTACTGAGGGCAAATATTTGCTAGAATAACCTGAAGCACATAGACATAGATTTTTGCCTTCTCACACACAACTGAGTAGGTCTTAAAAAGTGTGTAAATTTCCGTTAGTCGAATATACCTGTCCATCTACTAACACTTAATTATTAATAATAACTGAAGCACTTAGTCTTATAGTGAAAAGGATAGCTAACTAGAATGTCTTTCAAAAATAAGTAACATCAACAAAACGTTACTGTCGGTAACGGAGTAAACAATTACACAATACAATACTAGTATAAACTATTTTAATATGCAAAGATGAACAGTCACAATACTCAATACTCAGTAGGCGCGATAATAATCACTTGTATAGTTAATATTTTGTATTTGCCGAGACACTTTTGTCACAATTGTTTCTGACATTTAATCTATTATCTATATGATAAAGAAGAAGTTCTGCAGTATACACTGTACTATGCATACTATAAATACAAATATTATATAAAATTTAAATATTAAATCCCAAAATATTGGATAAATCTTGCTGTCCTACAAGCTATATCCGTATGAAATTGCACTGCTGGTATACCTATATAACTGATACTAGAGATTTTTTACCTTGTATATTATTATATCATGCATGTGCATGCAGTGTAGCACGCTTTTCAGAAGCAAATTTTCGTTCTCTGTTTAGATTTTAATATAATTATACGAAAATCTAAAAAATAATATAATTTCAAAATCGAAAGTCCAAAGTCCAAAGTCCATAGTCCAAAGTCCAGTCCAAAGTCCAGTCCAGTGTTTACAATATGCCGAACAGGCAGACAGACAGACAGACAGACAGACAGACAGACAGACAGACAGACAGACAGACAGACAGACAGAAGACAGGCAGACAGACAGACAGACAGACAGACAGACAACAGACAGACACAAGATCGAGATCTCGACAATACATAGATCGCGCGAAAGACTGGGTCGAGTGGACTCTGGAGAAACCACCACTTGTCAAGAATAGTGTGCTGCTTCGCTGCGCTCGGCAGCAAATACAACTATGAAAACGTAGAGACTCAAGGAGTGAATGAACATCTCATGAATGGTTTTATGTGCAAACATAATCGATATACCTTCTCTTGTTTCGTGATGTAAATCACGTTTTCCAAGCACATGAAATCACTTAAATCTCAATTACAACGTCACAACTTACAAGTAAAATTCCTATAAAATTCCATCAGTAAAATTCATGACTCATATGACTTACCGGTTACGTATGACGTCATTGACATTAACTAATATTAAAGTTAAATGTCATTCAGTGAAAATTCGCGTCGCATTGAAAAGAAATACTATGAAGAGCAACTAATAAATTACAAAGGCAATGTGAAATTATTATGGAAGACACTCAATGAAATTATGAATAAACAAAAAAGAGTAAAATATTACCAAATGAATTTGTCGGAAGACCTCCCGATGAAATATTGACTGTCCCTTTTACTATAGCCTGCGAGCAGGCTCTCTGGGGAAAGAGAGCCTGCAAGGATCCCTTTGATGATTCGGTGCATGCGTCCAATATTTGGACGCAGTGCTCTGATTGGTTGATAACTGATTCATATGAAGTGATTGACAAGCTTCCATAAACTTGCACTTCCCGTTTGTAAAACCGAGCAACGCAAAGCTTCGGAATTGCGGTAGCCTGCGAGCAGGCTCTCTGGGGAAAGAGAGCCTGCAAGGATCCCTATGATGATTGCGTGCCGCCCTTCAATTATGATGTCACAGGTCAATTAATAACAACCAATCAGCGCAGACCGGAATACACTACGATATTGTAAACATAAACCGATTCGTTTCAAATTCGTTAAAGTGCCCCTGACACAAAAATTGATTTTTTGTGTATTGAAAGTACACATTATGTGGAGTGTTTTGGTGAAAGAATTTTTTGATTTCATTAAAAAGGAAAAATTTTAGAGCGGTTTAAACACATAAATTTTTGGCACATGGACGTCGGCTACAGGAGTCTGGGGATAGCATTTTTTGTGACGTCACGCAAGTGAGTCAAATCTTGACGATTTGTTAGACTTTTGTCAGTTTTGATCAGCTCAAAGGTTTTGATCGCTGAACGGCTGAAGTGTTTTTATATTCTAAGTTCTATCATGGTTCTATAAAGTATCATGTCGACAACAGAATCCGACAGTAGCGATCAATCCGATGATTCCAGTGCGAACTTTATACCTGGTTAATATATGTTGTGTTGGAAGATGCTGATCAATAACACGCCAGGTCCCTAGTATTATCATTAAAACCACCAAATCTACACGACGCGGACGTGACGAAAAACTGCCGCTATTATCACAATTTCACTTCACGAGTAAAACTATGGATTGTTGTTGGTAAACAAAGCTAGGGGACACGAGAAAAATAAAATAAAACTAGTCTCCCATTATTAGCGACTGTTTTTAGTCTGCGTCTCAGATTTGGCGCATCTTGCCTGGCCCTCTGCTAACGTAGACGTTCTGTGGCTTTGCAAAGTTTATATCTCCGGTTCGGTGCATGCTATGAAGACAAAAATACTACGACTCGATTCAGTGAAACAAAATCTCCTAATTCCCAGCGATAGTTTTAGACTTTTAGTCAGATACAGGCTATAGTTTTAGTCAGATGGTATAGCTATTTATGACCTTTGTCTTTGATAGGTCAAGCGGTGTCATAATTCATTATATTACTCAATTTATAGTCTCGAACAATGTAAACTAGTCATACTTTCGCCGAACATAAATTCGGCCCCTTTGGAAATATCTTTTTCGTAATAGTCTTATTCGAACCGGAATCGAAAACACTATTTAGAGTGTTATTTTCAAGCTTGTGTCTTCAGATTTGCATCTTTCATTTCGGTATTACAAAATATTTATATTATTAGCGGGCCCGTAAAACCGAAATTGAATCATCAAAACAAAGCAAATTATCGTCAGTCTTTAATAGCTTCGCCTTCGGATAGTTAGGCTTGCCGAGCCCCGTCAACGAAAGACACAAAAAGAATCGCCTCTCGTAATCCTCTGGTCAAAAATGATCTAGCTTTGACCTGTGCTTTGACGGCACAAACAAACCCATACTTTTCTTCGTCTTTTAGCTTCCGCGCGTTCGTTATTGAAGTATGGAATATTGTGTAAACTTATTCCATCTTTTAAACATGGTTTATTGGTACAGAACAAAAAGCCCACATTTTGGGTGTTCAAACGGCTCTAAAATTTTTTCGTTTCAATGAAATAAAAAAATTCTTTCACCAAAACACTCCACATAATGTGTACTTTCAATACACAAAAAATCAATTTTTGTGTCAGGGGCACTTTAAAAGATTGTTTTTCGGACGCGCGTCCCAAAAACAAAAATTACAATACGTCTCATAGTAAATATCGCGATTTTTGAAAGCCTATATATTATTCGGAGGATATTCATGTAAACTTCTTCAAACTTTGTATGCTTACTAATTTTGAGGTGGCCTTTATTTCTTAATTTGGGCAATTTTTAACATTCGTCCACAGTCTACTCATCAACTTCGGAATGGCTAATATGGACAATTTCGGTAAAAACACAGTTATAATGTGAAAAAACCTGCAAATTTAAATTCAATAACCCTTTAATTTAAATTTTATATGATCAGAAAAATGATATAATATATACAGAATGAACGCATAGAAACTTTTTGTTAAAAAAATCTATCCAAGTGGAATTGCAGTAAACATGCATGTGATAATTATTGTAAACAAAGTGACGAGTAAATTACTGTACATTTTAACGCGTTAGCTTCTAGGTTTCGGTTTGCGAATTTGTGCAGTCTTTCTCAAGAATTATTCTTAGCTTAGGAGTCAGACAAGCCAAGGACACAATAAAGCATGCAAGTTTTTAGTATTCGTCTTTATATGAATACTATATTAATTAAAAAGTCAACCAGGATCAAAATACATGACACTTTTATCTCTACATTGCCGCAATTCCGAAGCTTTGCGTTTAGTTGCTCGGTTTAAAGGATCATTTATAAGTTGTCATTACTCATTAGTGAATGCGCGTATACATGAAACTGTTTTTTACAGTTTCAATATTAGTTTGTAAATCTCTGAATGGTAAAACTTGCCAATACTTCAATAATACGTTTAAAAAAAAGACCAAAAAGCTTTAGTTTTGAGAAGTAAAGTATCACGAAATTATTTGAATAAACCACATCGCATATATGGGAGGCGAATGTCCTAAAGAGGGGCGATATTCCTAGGGTATTCGCCCCACCCCCTTGGGAGGCGATATTCCTAGGATATTCGCCCCCCGGGGGCGATATTCCTAGGAATATTGCCACGTTTTGAGGGGGGGGGATTTCCTGGGGGGGCGACCTTTTTAAAAATTCTATCTTGCCCCCCCAAAATTTGAGTTTGCCCCTCAAATGCCCCCCCAAATTTGGAAGCCTGGCGCCGCCACTGCCTAGGGACAAGGCATTATATCGCTTCTCTTTTATGAAACAATATTGGGAATTTTGATAATATTCAGTGCATATTGTGTGTATTAAGCTTGTTTTACAATGTTATACTGACTATTTAAATAAGAGATGCATGTTTACTGCAATTCCACTTTTTGTTGCAAAATTTGAACTATAAACATATTATTAAATTATGTCCAATGTCCATGGTATATCATATATGTCTATGTCTCACCAAAGCCATAAATTTCAGTAAGTTATTATTACTATATATATAGATCCGGTCTGCGCTGATTGGTTGTTATTAATTGACCTGTGACATCATAATTGAAGGGCGGCACGCAATCATCATAGGGATCCTTGCAGGCTCTCTTTCCCCAGAGAGCCTGCTCGCAGGCTAATTGGTATGTGGCGCTAAAAGCTATATAAATCATGAACACTTTCAATAAGCTAACTTTAGATTTATATAAATGGTTAAATAAATGTGAGGATTGTGCTCTTGTACGAAATTGGGCATGTCGAGTGAAATTAGTTTTTGTGGGTAGCCTGCGCATGCGCAGCTAACCACTATGTAGAAAACCATAAAAATGTTTAGTGTGACAGTTTTTAGTCTGCGCATGTGCGGAATATTGAAGTTAAAGGCATACGAAAGAGCCGTTGGTTTATGAAATTTTGTAGTAGGCATACTTTTTCGTTTGCGCATAATTAAACCAGATCGATATCGTCGGTTTACTTTGCAGGTTCATATCTTTGGTTCAGTGCATGCTATGTGGATGAAAATACCACCGTTCAACTCAGTGAAACAATTCCTATGGATGGTTTTAGGAAAATGTCAACAAGAACATTATAACGATTTACGATTTTCAGTAGAAGTCCAGCATACCATATTTCACACAATTTTCCCGAACAATGTAAACAATGTCAATGTATTACGAACAGATCTTCGGCCCCTTTCAACATATCTTTTTCGTAATAGTCTTGTTCGAATCACAATTCAAAACACTACTAAGTGTGTTATTTTCAAACTTGTATCTACAGATTTGCATCTTTTATTTCGGTATTTCAGAATATCTAAATTTTTAGTGAGAGTTTCGACCGGAAATGCAAATTGATTGTCGAAACAATGCTGTCCTAGCACTTGGGAAACGTCGGAAACCACACGGAACCGATTCTAAAGGTCACATTACCTCTGTTGGCCAGTCTATATTCTAGTAATTTGATAATATACAATCTCGCTTGCCTTTCAGAGGCAATAAAACGCTACAGTGTTGATAATGACTAAAACTATTGTAAGGAACTATCTACTATTTGATTTTGTTTCACTGAATCGAATGGTGGTATTATTGTCTTCATAGCATGCACCTTTTCGTTCATTAAACGAGTAGAGTTCGCCTTTTTTCATTTTCATAAAGCCATATCTAATAAAGCATGCAGCGACTTTGGACATATACGTCTTGTCGTTCATTACCCATCCTGCTGGAGGTGAATAGGTACGAATAGTCTGGCTGTCTATAACTTCCTCGTCAGGCGTAGCCTGCGTGGGGCCTGCCACGCAGGCTACGTCAGGCGATGCTTCGTTTGGTGGTTGTGGGAGTTCTACCAGTAACAGTTGTTCTACTGTTACCGTACTTGCTTCTGTGTTGATACGTGCGTTGTCAGTTTCCTCTGTTCCACTGTCCATTGTTTCCTCGTCATTCGATAGTTGGTTAGAAGGTTGTGCTTCTTCTTGCGGGAACGGTTGTTCCACTGATTTTAGCTCCCCACGAGCGGCTCTTCTCTTCCGCACGAGACGTCGCGAACGTAACTCCGCCGCAAAACTCTCATGGATTGTTCGCGACAATTCCTCAACGCAAGAGCGTCCTCCTCGCGCAAATCAGCATTGGATATGCGTCGCAAGTGTTCGTCACTGAACAGACTTTCCCCCTCGTTTGCAGCAATTGTCAACGGTCCGGAGTGATTTGGCTCGTATCAGAGCTCATGTCGATCGATGCGCTCGCGGTTTGCGTTGCTTTCTCCCGCTATCCACGCAATACAGTCCATCGCGTGGTCATAAATCCACTTGTCGATTCCTGGTAGAGTTTGAGGCAATGATTTTGTTGTGAATATTAGGCCGTTGGATGAGGGTCGAAAATGTTCAATTCCGTAGCACCCTTCGTGTAACTACATAATTTTTACATGAATCTATAGATTTGAACTTACTTAGTTAGAATCCACTTCCCCCCAAGCGAAATAACCTCTCCAAAATTCAGGCTTCCTCGTGTTTCAGAATCCATGAACCGCCATTGTTGTGTTACAAATACGCATGCGCACAAAACACTTAATGCGCACGCGGAGATAAGAAAAACTGATCTCAATCCAGGACTGGACAAGAAAAAAATTATGAAATGTGCTGTAAAGCAGGGCTGAAGTAAAGGTTAACTCTTTGCCTCAAGGGCCAACCTACCAATTCTGAGTTACGCTGACTGGAACTTTATAACGACTCTGTTTTTGTATCAACCAATCCTCAAACACTCGTATTTCGTTGTTGATCATGCACGCCTTTATCACGAACGCCTTATGGCCAATCCTCATTCTCAGTTTATAAAAAAAAAACAAAGAAGAAGGAAACAGCTTAGTAGGTTATAGGAGGTATTGTTTTACAACAGCATTGCGTGTCGTTTGCAATCTAATTATAATAACTTGCGCATACGACCCATGCATATCAAGAGAAAGGGAGTTTCCGTCTTATTTAATTAGAATTAAGTAATATTTCAAATCCGAGTTAGTGTTTTAGACGTGGTTTCTAAGACCCCGTTTACACGGTACCGGACGAATTTGGGACCGGACGAAAATTCGTCCTTTTTCGCCTGTTTACACGCGAATTCGTCCTGTTAGGGGGTTTCAAATTCGTCCGGTTCCGTGTTTCTCGTGTGTTTACACGGCCGAAACGGACGAATTTTCGTCCGGTCACAAATTCGTCCGGTACCGTGTAAACGGGGTCTAAATACAAGTGCCATGAACAATGGCGAGGCGCAGCCGAGCCATTGTTCATGGCATTGGGGATTTGGAAGCCAAGTCAATCTCGTTCCCAGAGTATGCCTGTTCGCGGGTTAGGTTGTGGCATGACTCTGGGGAAATCGAATCGAAATCGTTATTTGATTGGCTGCCGCGATCATCAATGCTGCCGACACAATTAATGCGTGTTTTTTACGAGAATTACGCGTGGACATACGCGAAGAGAGAATTATCAATGTTTATCAGATTGGAATGCGAAATCAAACCGATATAAATCGAAGGATATATTATATTAATCGTATGAATAAGTATTGGGACGTTGGGCATATACTTACAAAATGGCATGGCATTTATGAATGACTTTTTATCGATCTACAGCATGAGTATATTTATTATAACCATGGAAGAATTGGCTAAATGAAATCATCGCACACGTCGTTATTTTGACAAATTGTTGCCAGGACTTTGGAGTGACAGCTTTTGCTTGTGTTAAAAACGTGAAGCTTTAAACAATATAGTACATTATGGTCAACACTCAACATGTTGTAGCCCGTGGTCTTTGTGCTTTTGTAAATGGACTAATCTATATAAATTTAAGATGCCAGGT